GGCGAACCTCGAGCATCCTAATGCAAAGACAGATTACAGCAACCGTACAGAATCATTGAGGCCAATGACAGAAACAACAGCGTTTTGGGGTACTTTGGGCTGGCCTTCCTTTGCAGGTACACCAAGCTGATCAGGCTTGGCTTCCCTCTCTGATGCACAGCTTCGTTGGGTACGGTAGCATCAGAGAGCCGTACCCCCCTGCAGTCTGTTGAAAGAAAATTGCAGCTACTCACCATGTTCAGGTGTGCACACACACAGGCCCTGGTATACCAGGGCGTTAGCATGAATTTGCACTTTCAGCATGAAAAGCTACGACATGCATGAGTGCAAGTCTGACGTGCATGCTTGGAATCATTGACCTTGCAGCCTCAGAACTACACGCCTTCCAACCTTCGAACGGGAACCCCAACAAGTTACACTTCTAGGGAAGCCTCCTGCACGCATGTGGTGACTGCACAGACATGAACGCACATGAAGGCAAACACATCCCTCGCTGCCTAAATCCTGCCTGAGTTGAGATACCTGACCCTTTTCTCAAGAAACCCTGCATTCAGTTGATCTAACAACGGGCGTCGACCCTTGCGCCAGTTCCGGAATGATCAAAATGATGGCATCGGACAGCTTCGGAAAATGAAACCTGACCTGTGATGATGGTAGACCTTATGCCGTTGGAAGTTTGCTCGTCGTACAGGCTTGTCCAAACCAGGCCGATTGCAGGCCCTGGCACTATGAGGCTAAGCCAGTACCAAATGCCTTTTTCAAGCCTCGGATGCATCTGGGCCTTGTGGCCTGCCGTACCGGATAGCTGATGTTCGGAAGTTCAGCAGCAGCTTTTTTTCATGTTCGAACCGTCAGCTGACCTTGTCGAAGCCCTTAGCATGATTCATGCTTCGATTTTGAGAAGTCTTGACATAAAGTCCGCGAATTGTTGACCCAGCCCATCCTCGTCAGTTGCAGCATGTGTCTCTGGTCCATCTGCCGCAGACCTCTGCGAGAACGGATGGCATTGTTGAAACAGCCAAACACAGCTTTTCACCAAGGCGCACAAGATCGCGATCCAAGAGTCGACGTGTTACCGGCTCGTTCGACAATGTGGTTTGTAGTTCCCAGCAGCATGCTCTGGTACAGATCAATTCGATGGCCAGGAAAACGCTAGCCGAGATGCACCATGCCCCGCACCCATGGCCCTCGGGGCCCTTGATGCTGTGAACCTCTGAGTTGCCCTGATCGCACTTCGTTTCGATGGCCACCGGTCTGGACTGGTCTGCAGCACTGCAGAGCCGCGCACGGCGGCGACGGTATGTGGGCGACGACCCGGCGGGCAGCAAATTGAGCTCTCGCTGGTGTCGTGTGCTGCCACTAAGAGCCGAAGGCAAAGTCAAACGTCAGCATCTAGCAGACAGACTCAAGGCGGTACGAGCCTGTTGTGCACCAACTTGGCTACCAGTAGCATGAAGCTTTAGCTGCATGAGCTTTGGCAATTTTCAATCAGTGAGCAAAAAGGGAAGCCTGTGTTGAATCATTGCCAGCTCGCACACACAGCTCGCATGCTTCTTGGTCTGGTCCTGTGCAGATTACGGAGCATGCGACGACTTCAAAGCGTTTGGCACGGAAGGTGCCTAGGGGTTGTAGGGAAGAGCGTCTGGCCCCCACTCTGGCTATGTCTTGCTTTCAGCTTCGGAAGGTGAATTTCGTCCGGGCACCGGAGGGAGGAGAAGGTATCCAGTGCCGGTCTCGTTCTTGCAGTCATAGATTCGGGAGCATGGCAGGAAAGCCCTTGGTTGTGGGCGTCGTAAACATCGTGATGCAGGCCAGCTAGCAGAAGTGTTTCGTTTTGGAGCAGGAAAAGTCATGGCTTTACATTGGCAGCAGTAGCAGGTTAAAGCCTTGAGCTCTGCACCAGAACCAGCGGCGGCAACTGGGTCTGATGCTTAGCAGCATGCCCGGGCAGCGCAGGCAGATGCGACTATGCAAGTTTAGAACCCTGGCCATTGAAGAAGCAAACTTGTACGATCACCAGCTTCGCGACTGCATGAGGCTCGACACGGCACATACAGTCGCCTCAGCTTTGGCACCTTCTCTGGACAAGTCCCTCTGGCAGACGAGGCTATGTCGTAAAAAAGTAGCTTTGTTATGTTGCGGTGTCGCTCTGTGCAGGCTGTTCGAAAGTCGGCTCCACATCCTGGTGCACCGAGCCGATGCGCTTCCAGCCGATGTCCTGGGAATTTCTCCTCTGTGTCCAGTGCGGCACATTGCAGCAGTGGCGGCGCAGGTGCCAGATGCGAGCGCGAAGGCTGTGGTGCGGGTGGCTGCAAGGCCTGACGATTGCGCAGCATTGCGCAGCATTGCGCATACATGCCTGGTTCATGAGAGCACGGGCGCAACGAGGCTCCTTCAGCCCGGCGGCCATGTGTTGCAAGAGTTGGCTCCTCTCTCAAAAATCGATGGCCCTCCAACAGAGCTGCGGAGAAGAAGCCTAAGTCTGTGATATCCTTGGACAGAGGCCTCCCGAAACCTTCCGGTGGAGCCAGCGACCGCGCACACGGGCGAGGCGCTACTGGAAGAGCAGGATGCCAGATAGAACTCGATCCGGATAGAATTTGAGCTTTAGGAGGGTCCGGCAACGTATTCTGCATCTAGCTGCAGGTTTGGTTCAACCAGGAGATCGTGATGCCGATGTCAGTATCGATGCTAGAAGCACCTGGGCACAGCTGGCATTATTGTTGCGCAGTGCTTGGATCTGATGTGCCTTTGGCCAATCCGGCCAGGTTGCAGGTTGGACTCGCCCTGGAGATGGTGCCGAGCTTGGAGGGAGCGGAGCTGCCCAAAAACCTCGGCAGTTTGCGAAGTCGTACAAATCTGCTCTTTCCTGACGTGCAGGTGTCTTCAACACCAGACGGTGCTGTGACGGACTCCTTGCATCATCCTGAGCCTTGATCTTCCCTAACATCTCGAGCACATGTCTTGCTGCCCTGCCAGGCTGAACCTCCAATGGCAGGGATCCAAGGTGAGGGCATCATGCGTGCAACGGGATTCACCGGAGGTCACCATCCTCCCTGCCGCTTCTGAATCCCATCCACCTCCATGCCAGGCCAGGGTTCGGTCGATTTCCCTGACTGAAAAAACTCCGGAGAGTTTAGGCTTTAGGGTTTAGCGTCGTTTGCGTGCTGCTTCTCGAGGTCCTCTGCCACCGCTTCCACTGCCTCGAGACCTCGACCTGGGCTGCTGGTGCGGGAACCGAGATGAGAGGAAGAGGGCGTCAAGAGGTCATCCGACACCGTTACCCAGTCTGACAATCTGAAACTGTTTTCATTGGGGAAGGTGGAGGAGGATGCGGGAGGTCAGCAGACGTACGCAGGCTCCAGAAAGCAGCGAAGAGCCCCGTCGGTTGAGGACTGGTGACTAGCTGACTAGCTCTCTCGCGTCCATTCGCCAGACTCGGCTTCAATTCAGGAGATCGCAAATGCTACCTTGTTTACTGCGCAACAGGATCCGTTTTCTGGAGGTGAGACATTCTAGCAGCCCGGTCCTGCAAGCATGGTTTGACCAAGAACGAAAGGAAGCTCGAAAAGGCTGAACTCAAATGCCACACTGCGTTATTGCATGATGGATGTTGTTGTCGAGCGGCAGAATGCAGGGGCTCCAGATGCAAAATTGTGCTTTCGTTCTGCAGACTGGTGACTAGCCTGACTAGCCCGCCAGCAGAGGCCGAACAAAAGGAAGGTGCAGCAAGGTATGTAGATACAGGCGAACTGGCAGCGGCACCGTCAATGTTTTCATTTTTGCGGCAAAGGTCAAAGGGTGCGCGAAAATGCAGGACCCGCGAAGGCTTGTCGGAGTCCACCGTCCTCTGCACAGGGTCGGATTGAGTCATCATCTTTTGCTGTCCAAGTCCGCATGATCTCGACAAAGTTAAAAGCGGCTTAGCCGTAGAGAGGAGAACCCACGAAGACCCACGATTCTCTCCAGACTGATGTTTTCATTGGTGCAGAGGCTTTGTTGATTTCCCAGCTCGACAAACTGTCCCAAGCCTCCAAAAATGCCCGCAGGACTTGCCATGTTGCCGTCCGGGTACCGGCTTCTCCTTATATTGGGCAATCGTCAAAAGTCAGTAGTACGTAGTTTGGCCTAGAGCGGCCATCTGCATGTAGAAGAGCAAACCCCTGTAAAGCGACGGGGAGCCTGAAAAGCGACGCCTCTGAATCGTATAGCCCGAAACTATAAACACTAAACCCTGCCCTTATCCTATCCTAAACCTAAAGGGCTTCGGTTTTGTCGGCCTGGCTGAGAGGGCATCGGGGTTCGGCACGTGCGCTACGAGTAGCTTCCTTTCCTTTGCCAGCGCTTTTGAATGCAGGCTTGTTTGCTTTAGTTTGCTGTGACTATAGCGGGTCGGACGTCTGCCTCCTGGGTTCTGGTTTGCTGTTGTTTGTCTTGTTGTGGTCGGGCTCCTGTGTCCTAGTTTCTGGTTTGCGGTTGCTTGCTATGTCTACTGCAGACGGACTCCTATGGCCTGGGTTCTGGTTTGCTGTTTTTGGCTATGTCTATTGTGGACGAACTCCTGTGTCCTGGGCTCTCTTTCGGTGTTGCTTGCTATATCTTATGGCGGTCGGACTCCTGTGTCCTGTGTTCTGGTTTGCGGTTGTTTGCTGTGTCCATTGTGGTGGGACTCCTGTGCCCAGGGTTCTGGTTTGCAGTTGCTGGCTGTGTCGACTCCTGTGTCCTGGGCCCTGATTGGCTTTTGTTTGCTATATTGTGGATTCGAGAGGATGGGCAATAAAGCTGTGTTCGACCAAAATTCAGAACGTTCGAAATGCTCCAGCCTCGAAAAGCAATCGGAATTCAGCGACCCATAGGAAGACAAGGTGTCACAAAGGGAAGTTTTCAATATAGGTGTTCTGTTAGGAGCATCCCAGGTCTCCATGACGCGGGAGCCGGGCCATGAGGATGAGCCTGGCTTTTACAGCACAGGTTTCTATGAGAAGCGAAGCTGCCGGCAGGCCTTGGATGGACTGGGAGGTGGTGTATCCCATGGCTTGGAGATCAGGGTGCGCAACTCGGCTTCCGAGGAGCTCCGGCTGGGGCACGGGCCCTCCGTCTTGGAGCGTCGTCGAGTGGCGTCGAGTGTTTGAGGTGCACGGAGTGCCTCACGGGCGCCCTCTTCCTGATCTGGTCGAGGGTGCGCTTGTGGCCGTCTGCCCAGAGCTGGTTCCTCGGAGTCGAGCGAAGTTCCAAGCGCGGCCGCCTTCTGCTGCATCCTCGAGGTCGTCTGTTGGCACAGACACCCGCGACTTGCGCATACCTGTGGCAACCTATCTCTACGACCAGCGAATTGCTCTTTGCTTGCATCATCTTGCATCACTTGCTTGTCTACACTGCAGCCCCTCATGTTGTTACGACTCAGGGTGAGGAGTTTGGAAGGACACTAGACTATCAGGGTCTGACCCGCAAGATGGACAGAGTCAGCAAGGTTCGTACCGCAACACGAGGAATTTTAGTGATGGCACCCGAAACGATAGATGGCTGATGGAAGCTCCACGCTTTTGGGGCCCAAGGAACTCTCTGCTTTCCTCGATGAGCACTTCATCACTGCGGCCTCGAACCTGCGCTGCTTCCTATCGCCGTTGTCAGGCACACCCTCATGTGTTTCTACCGCTCTGGTGGGCAGAATGTTGTGCTTGAATGGGACATGGCACGGTCGCCTGTTCTGGAAGAGCCGGTGAGCATGTGTGAGACCAAGAGTTCGCCTCGTGCCCTGGCAGGTGCATCCCGAACTCCTCAGTGGGGGTTATGCCGCCTAAGTTGTGGAGCACATTTCCTAACTCGGCAAGCTGCCAGACAGCAGACAGACCCACCAACTGGTAAGTTGCTTGCAAATACTGTGAACTTCAACAGGGCAGAGCGGGACTGATGACGGGGTAGTTCTGCACGCAGAAAGGCCTCTAAAACTCAGACGGTCTAGCCTGGCCTTGGGATTTGCAGAATGCCCATGGCCAGGCAATTTCTCCTGCGCTGTTTGTCGTCGGCAACAGCGCTCAAAGCCGTTACGATCTTGCTCTTCGAATGCCGCGGTGCCAGAGCGGACCGCCAGGGCTTCCAGCGAAGATCGTTGCATGCTTTAGCGAAGAGCTTGTCTTTCTGTATGATTCAAAGACGAGAGAGAGAGCCAGAGCCAAACTGACCTCCACTCTGAGCATGCCTTTTTTTCTGGCATCGGGTTCAGGCATAATTTTTGTCCGTGCCTCGGCAGGACCCAGATAGTCCGCTCAGCGGGAATCTTCTTGGTTTTGCCTCCTTGGACGCCTCTTCGCTGATCGGGCCGGTCCATAAAATCCGCAGAATGCCATAGAGTCGCCAAGCGAAAGCAGCGACGGGTTTTGCAGGTCAGAGCCGATGTCGCGTTCCTTTCTCTTGGATCTTCGACTCCTCGAGGTTCGATTCCGTCGTCCCATGTCAGGCCCATGAGTTTTGCATCGCCAGGCACCTGGTGCCTCCACCTCTCTGGAGATCGAAGCCCGAGTACCTGCCTGGCCATTTCGCTTCATGTGTCGCTTCGTCGTAGTCGTGTTTGCAAGGTCTGGCCGCGGGGAGGTGGAGGTACTGCAGACGGGGCCCACGGAAAGCTCGTGCCTTGTCTTCCTCAACAGCAGGAGGCCGTCGTTCACAGCTGTCTGCACTCAGGCCAGTGGCTGCGACCACAGCACCGACACTAGCTCCGTCTGCGTTTGACTCGGCAATCGTTTGCAGTGAGCACAGCCTGCAGGAAGTGTTCTTGAACTAAGGCTGCGCTGGCTCAGGAAGTGCAGGACTTTAGGCCACAACGTCCGGGAAAATTATCATCTGTAGATTGAAAGAGTGAAGCTTGAGAGAGGCTAAATCATGAGCTTTCCGTTCAGCTCTCTAAGGAGTCGCTTGCTCAGATTTTGAAGGTCTCCTAATGCCCTGCACCACACTCCCGACTCCCGACGAGAGGTTCAATATGCGCGCCGCCGCACTTAAGCGAGCGGGGGAGGAGATCGTGACCCTTCGAAGGCTGCGATATGTGGAGAGATGTAGCGAGCATCTTAAAGCAAACACCATCCAGGCCCCCTCCATCCAGCCGGCAACCACCGTCTGACCTTGGCCAACTGTACCGTCACGGGCGACAACGGTGCAAACTGTAATGCCAGACTTGTAGTGCGGAACACATGGCCGCTCGACAAGCTTTCCACGCCTTTCCGCTGTCGGGAATTCTTGGCAGAATTTGTAGGTGCTTCTGTGCTTTCTGCTCAGTCCTGCCGCTCTGTGATTTTCATCCCTGTCGTGGCACGGACAACCAGCTTGACTCTATGTCATGTCGCATGGCCTGCCGACAAGCGTGAATATTCAATGGGTTCGAAATGCGCAGCGGCAATGAGGGTCTAAGGATACCATGACTCCAGCAAAAAAACTAAACAGTGACAGGCTCGATTCCCTGTAGCCTGTGAGACCTTCCAGCCCTTCGTTGATTGCGAAAGCTTAGAGAAATACACAGATCGTTTCGCACACGGGACTTTTGGCCGGAGTTTTGCGGAGTGTGATCCTTTTTGCTTCTGAGACTCGCCAAGTCGCTTGAATTTCAGGCAGGTGCAGCTGTTGAAGAATGAGAACAGATCTCTTCGGGCACAGGTGGAGGATGAGGAGTGTTCGAAGCATGTTTTGTTTCCCACACAGGGCATGAAACAAATGCTGTTTCAGCTGTATGAACCTTGTCTTGCAGCTATCAGGAAAAGTTGGCTCCGACCTTACCAGACACGATGCCCACGATCTAGACATGCAAACCCATGGCCTGCGCGGACCGCCCAAGGCACAAGAGGTCCAACAGCGTCCTCCACCGGAAGGCGAAGAAGCAGAGTCCTTCCTTGCTTGGTTTTGTAGTCCTTATGATTGCAAGGCCTGGAGAAGTTGAGTGCAGCAGTGCAGATCTCAGTTTGAAAGTCCTCGCAGTGCCTTTCGCGGAGTAGCAGTTCTTACTTCCCGTCACAGTGGTGCTGGGGTTCTAAAGCTCAGCGGTTCCGCGCCTCCAGCTGTGGCGCGGTGCACATTTTCGACTCAAAGTCGCGCTCTGTGCGGTACGCATTTTGGAAGTTTTGGACCTTCCGTGCTTGTGGTGGGGTTTGTACTAGCGGCTAGCAGCAAAATGGTGGAGACTCCATACAGTAACATCTGCATAAGTTTATTACTTCCCTCCCCTTCCCCTGTCCTCGACCCGATGGCCAGTTCGGATCCACTGCATGGTCTTGAGTCTTCATGGCACCACGCGGGGCAAACCCGGCATATTGCGCGAACCCTGTTTGCCTTGGTTGACTGGTGTTTCTGTTGCCTTTCTCTAGCAATCACGCCCAGATTTGAAATTAAAGGCTCGTGGCATTGTGGTCATGCCGCAAGAGCCTGCCGAGGAGCTGGCTGGAAAGCTCCAGCGGACCTTAGAGAAATATCGGGAGGAGAAGGCGCAGACTTGCCCTGCGGGAAGCCTCGTGCAGCTGCTACATTAGACCTCATCGATCGCTGGAGGCAAAGGCTTCCGAGCTGACCCGACGGATGGAGGAGGCGCTCAAAGAGGCGCCCGCCGTGCCTTCCTCCGTTCCTCACCCGTCCTGTTGAAGCCATGAGCTTGCAGGTGAATCGTGCTCGTGGCTTGGAAAGATCACTGGAAGAGCCGGGTACCGAAAGAGACGGAGTCGGCACATCTTCAGCCCAGCGCGCTCCAGGCTGCAGCAGGTGCACCTGGAGCAGAATCGAGAGCTCCAGCGCCTCCAAGACGAGGGTAGGCTTGGGAAGGGTCGAGTATTTTTTGTCAAAGATAGGCCTAGCACTTCATCTCAATGCACACTATGGTGTTCTATCTGAGAGGAAGTTGGACACATACCGTCAAACAGCAAAGACGCAGGAGAAGGTGTTTGTCTCAGTGCTGGGTACTCCGCGAAGAGGCTTTCATGAACACGCGTTCCATCACTTTGAGGTCATTTCCAAATTGGAGAAGATCCTTGAGAGCTCCTTGCAGGAGGCACCTTCAGTCTTGAAGGTTCTGCAGCTTCGCAGACTGTGCTCGGAAGGTGCAGAAAGCGCAGAAGGTGCAGGCGGGACCTTGGCGGGATTCAAAAAGGTTGCGACAGCATGGTTCTCCACCATTTTCTCACATGGCTCCTCTCTTGGCAGATCCAGTCGAATCACCTGGTCTCCCAATCCCAACACTGGAAGCTCTGCATCAACGTCGGATGAGAACCAACATGATGGTGCCCAACATCTTGCTCTGGGGGGGCATGCTGAATTTATTCTGAAAAAGTTGAAAATGTGACAGAACGAGTGCGCACGAAGTCCCAAATTCACCAGTGCAGATCTTTGCAGCTTGGTGATCATCAACTTTGTGCAGATGGCTATTCCTCCACGTGCTGTAATGCACTCAAACCCAGGCCGGAAAGGTCAGAATGCCATTCTGCTTCTGGGCCACATATGTTCACCCAACCGCGTGCTGAAGAGGAAGTGGCAAGCCTCGTCCGACAGTTCTATATTCAAGGTTCTTGAGCAAGGAAGAGACCGGAACAGCTATCCATGCCAAGAATGGGCCTTCCCTGAACGCAGATCATGCAATCTCAAGCATCCAGCAGCACAGTGATGTATCGTTCAGCTGTTACTCCGGCTGTGGGCTCGTTGCTTTTCCCACCTCGGTGGCATATTTTCCTACTGGATTTCATCTGCATGTCCTTCCATGCTCAACCTTGCCGGCCATGCACTCAAGACTGTTCTGCCCTGAAACTCTCGAGCCATCGGATCACGCAAGCGGGTTTTGCACGAGCCGATATTTCCTGCCTGTAGCTTAGTTGCCAGAAATAAGCGACTAGTCAGCCGTGTTAAACCTCCCACGTAACGGACGGCACCGTTGGATCGGCACCAGCCTGGAAATGGTCGTGGCCGGAAGCAGGTGGACATCGAGCGCTTGAAGACCGAAAACCTGAAGCTCAGCAACTCGGCTGCTATAGCACTTGGGTCCAGATCATATTTGCATTGCGGGAGTCGAGAGCCAAGCGTGAGCAGTTGGCAGTCATATGAGTCACATGGCAGACAGCGCATCTTGTGAGTGCAACTGAAGAGCTTGCAGGGGAGCGATGTTCAAGCTTGCTCACACGGAAGCAGCAGCTTGGTGGCAAATTTGGGCTCAGATTTCCGGTTAAGCCAAGGACGCTGCTGTGAGCAGCAGCGGTAGGTTGAACCATGCGGGATGCACCAGCTTGCAAGCTCCTGTGCGGAAGCTGAGGGAAGTGGGCGACGATGAAGCACAGGTGCTGGTGACCATGAAACAGAAGCGCCTGTAATAGCCGGTTGTGTGCTGCCTCTCAGAGCGGGAAAGGTTGCAGTGAGTCAGTTCACCGAGTGAAGCTCCAAAATTATGAAGAGGAGCTGCGGCAGCGACTCGCAGAGAAGGATGCTGAAATTACCCGCCTGCAAAAAGTTGCCCTGCCCTGAGATTCTGGTTTGGGAAGAAGTCCTTGCTTTAACAAACAGGAAGGCCTGTCAGCAAGACCTCATTGCACACCCTGGAGCAGGCAGCTTCTCTGAAGATGAACGATGTGGAAGTGGGTGAGGACTTGACGGTTGCCATTGTCACGTGAATCGAATGTGGATTGGTCCGGAGTCAAGGAGACCGTCCTGCCTTCGTCTTCACCCGGTACTGCGGCCGGAACCCGACCTTTTCACGATCATCCGCTTTGCCTTAGGGCATCTGTACCCGTCTGCACCGAGGCCTTGTCGGCTGAAGAGCCGGGTCCTCGAGCGAGTGGCAGATCCAGGGGGTTATGGGTTAGGCCCAGGGATGGTTACGAAGGACACCGCCTTCGCGGTCTCAGAGGCTGACCCACTGGCTTTTGAATTTTGCTTCCAGGCAGGAGCAGCTGGCCCACCTGGAAGCGAAGCGCTTTGTACACAACTCAGGTCACAGTTATCATCAATAAGTCAATAATTCGAAAATCAGTCGCCGAGCCAAGCTCTGGTGACATCGTGTGGTGTTGTTGGTTGCTTTCGTGGACGGGGAACGTAGCAACCGTGGCCTGTGACGCAAAAATGCACGACGGGTAGACCCATTGCTTTGAGCACGGTCGAAGCTAAGCACATCTACTGAGTCTAATCATCTGACCTGCTGCGGCATGTAGTCAAGGTGGTTCGATTTGTTTCAGTCAGTGTCACGGCCAGACCCCGTGGCTGTGCATGTCCACTGCTTATTGGAATTTTTTGTTTTGAGGAATGGGAGCAGCGATGCGCGGCCGCAGAGCAGCGGCAAATGCCTCAGACAGCACGTTTATGGTGAAGCGATTGTCAAACTACTGTGTCCCTTCATCTTCTTGACTGTTATGGTGCCTTGATTCTGCCGCTGTGGGTAGCCAACCTAGCTGGGCTCCTCCCGTCAGAATGTCTACTCACCCGCACACCGACAGCTGTGTGTCATTCTTTGGCTCACGCTGCATGGACTCCATGGTTGTCTGCTCCCTGTACAAGTAGAATGCCTGAGCCGTAGCCTCAGGTTGCAGGTGCTGCAGCAGCAGCTGACAGAAAGCTCAAAAAGGCCTGGCGGCGGCAAGTCTTGGATCCCCTTGTACCCAGCTTCCCGGCCCACAGTGTTCCTGGTATTTGTGAGCGGAAAACTAGGATGTCCTGCATGCTGCCGCTCGGATCAGGTATGGGGCCGAAATATCTTCGTTGGAAGTCGAGATTGCGAAGAAGGATGCGCGCATCAAAGAGTGCTTCACCCAGAGTGTGGCAACATCGCTCCATGTGAACCACGCAAACTGAAAAGCATATTGTGTTTCTTTTCGCAGGTTGGAATATCTTCAGAGACAGACAGCGTGAGACTGCACAGTAGCAGAAACTTTGCAGGTGGACAGTCTTGTCGCGTCTCGTGAGCTGTGATTCGACGGGGTGCAACTTCGGAAATATGGAGGGCGCCCTGTTGAAGGAAATGCAACAGGCGTGATGCGTCTTCCGAGAAGCAAAGTACTGCTTGTAGTGAATCTGATAGACGAATTGGTTCTGTGCCGCATCATCGGCAGAGAAGACGAAAAGCACACGTCCGTTCCTGTAAATAGTCCTCTCAAGCTAATGACCTGCTTCGCAGCCTGAAGGGTTGACAAAGCTGCAACGCAGCAGGCATCGCAGTGTGACTGCCTTGGAATCAACATGTGTTCCACAAAGAGTTCCGCATTGACCGAAGTTGCGTGGTGCATTGCATCGTAGAGTCGTATTGCATCCATCATCGCGACCGGCTTTGCAGGTACAGTCCGGGCAATCAGACCAGAACATTTGAGTGCCCAAGCATGTCTTCGTGAGGATACCCAGTCATGCCCCATGCCCCTCCAAACTGGACCGAGTCTCGCCAGCCGTCCCAAGGTCTTGGATCAGGCGGGTTGACCACTAGCCGGGTAATGGCTGCGGGTTGCAGGGACAGCAAAAGGTGATCGGTGGAATATGCAGTTTAGTCGAGGCGGAGTTGTAACGGATTGGGCTTCCGAGTAGCACCTGTGTCAGTTTAAGGTCATGCATTTGCTGTGTAACAAACTGTGAGAAGGATTGTGGATAAAATGTGTAGCAAAACTGCATGAGCAGGGGAGCAACAAACCCCAGTAGAAGGGTGTCTTAGCTTGTGAGCGGCCTGGAACTACTGAAGTTGAGACGATACCTTTGGAGCATAGTTAGCACAGAGTCCATTGGTATAGGCTATAGGGGGACATGTTACATATTTACGCACGCTGAGCTTGTTCTGACCAAGTGCCACAGCCAGGTACGCCACTTCCCAACAATGCAGGAGATGAAGAGATTCCACACAGTTCCGGCTCGGAGGCGAGGGAGCGAACGGGTTAGAAGTTGAGAGTGCAAGACAAGCTGAGCCCCTTAAGGTCAGCGCGTCCGTCGAGGATGTGGTTCAAGAGGCCAAAATGTTCTTAAAACGGGCCCTCTTCCAGGCTGCTTATTGCTGGTGGTTTGCACTTCGATTAGCGAGTCAGTGATCTTGCAGTATCACGAACCTGGCTGACGAAGTGTTCGTGCGAACTGTCTGCTTGAGTCCGAATACCAAGTGCGCAGCCAGTGAGACCGCGGATAAGACTGAGCTTGGAAGCTAGATGTTCGAAGACCAGACAAGGACAAAACTGATTGGATATGATTATCTATGATGTGCTTCAATTCGACTGTCCGTGCAAACGATCGGGATGTTCGATCCTCCGGAGGCATCGGGGATCTCCAAGTTGAGCACAGCCGACAGGCAATGGCCTCGTCCGAGTCGTAAGTCCTGACACTGTGTGCGCGAAAACGGAAGGTTTCCACACAAAGGAGCACGTGCGAAGCTGGTGGGCCTTAAAGCCAAGTCCATGAATGGGAAGGCTGGTAGCCGGGAATTTCTTCTGGTTTGGAATGCAACAAGAATACTACTGTGATCTTCGGTAGGTGTTCGCCTGCAGTACTTGTGCGTCTCTGCTTTCATACAGAGTTTTATGCTTCAAGCTATCCTTACGATGGCATCCCGGAAGGTCGTGAAGATCACCAGCTACGAGAACAGCACGCAGCGGTATATCGTGAAGCTGCCAGACGGCTCCATGCGCAAAGTCGAGGCGAGGTTCGAGGTCCTCTCATCTTTAACAAGAGGGCCCCATCCATGGCCCTTGGTGTTTTTTCCCAAAAACCCCTCTGGGG